TTATTTCTTACCATAACTTGGTAGATATGGTTATTTTATGTATGACAAAACCAAGTCACAGATTGGTTAAATGAGCCCAAGTTCACACAAACAGTGATAGAGCCTGAATTTCAAGTTCAGCAAGGTTTTTTTTTTTTTTCTGTTTTTTTTTTGTTTTGTTTTGTTTTTGAGATAACGAAATATCACAGTTAACTGCAAAAATGGTAGAGAGGTCCTAGGTACACTTTACCAAGTTTTCCCCAGTGGTTTTGTCATTGGAGAAGATGCACATAAGATGTCAACATTTATATAATTTATATAACCATCTTATTTAACCATAAGTTGTAGCAATTGGGGAAACTGGGTAAAGAGTTACATCTCATTAGAGAGTACAATATTAAAACTAGGAGGATTCTGGGAAGATGGCAGAGTAAAAAGTCTCAGGAATCTGTCTCCTCACCTAGACAGCAACTGCACTGGCAGAATCTGTCTGATGTAAATATTTTTGGAACTCTGGCATCTATTGAATTGAAAGCTTGGCAATTTCTATAGAATGGCTTGTACAAGTAAACTGCGGTTAAGTTAAATCAATTTCAGCTCTTAGGACAGTAACAGTTCATATCCCCCACCTCCAGTCCTGTGATAGTTATTTATGTATTCCTGGAGCAGCTTGCACATAGCTTGTGGAAGCAGGGAGGGCAAAAAGGACCGTGTTCTACAAATACAGGGGATCTGTGCTCTGATTGCTGAGTGCTGCTTCTGATCACCTCCCTCCATTGTTGCTGCTTCTGCTACACCTCCCCCATTGTTGCAAGCCTTTCTCCTTCTGGCTGAAGTGACATCCAGGGGATTTAAAGAGCCAGTTCTATATTTCCCCTACTCTTGAGTTTTTTTTTTTTTTTTTTCTTTTCTTTTCATTTTTCCCTTTTGGAAGCCAGACATTAAAGACTAGAACATTCAAAAGCAACTGGATATATGAGCGCAATTAGAAAGTGACCACACTTGCTTAGAAAAACACACTGGAACAGCCTACAACAATCAGAAAAACAAAAAGAAAAACAGAAACAATGGCAGACAAACAGCAAAGGGAGAATATGGTTTTCAGAGTTACCACATTATTTGATTTGAACATCCAGTTTTTGACAACAACAAAATCACAAGGAAAACAAAGAAGCGGGAAAGTTTGGCTCACTTAAAAAATAAGCAGAAACTGTCCCTGAAAAAAGACCTGATGGCAGATCTATTCGACAAAGATTTAAAAACCACTGTCTTAAGGATTCTCATACAACAAAAGAAAGATGTGGAGAAAGTCAAGAAAATGATGCATGAGCAAAATCGAGTATCAGTAAGGAAATAGAAAGGCTAAAATAAATAAAAAAATTCTAGAGCTGAAAAATACAATAACAAATTTAAAATTCACTGAAGAGATTCACAGGCAGGTTTGAGCAAGCAGAAGAAAGAATAAGCAAATTTGAAGGTAGGGCATAGGAATTATTGAGTTTGAGAAACAGAAAGAAAAAGGATTGAAGAAAAGTGAATAGAGCCTAAGGGACCTGTAGGACACCTTCAAGCAGATGACTATACACATTTTGGGAGTTCTAGAAGAAGAAGAGAGAAAGAGACAGAATATTTGAAAAAATAATGGCGTGGCCGGGTGCGGCGGCTCATGACTGTAATCCCAGCACTTTGGGAGGCTGAGGCAGGTGGATTGCTTGAGGTCAGGAATTCAAGACCAGCCTGGACAACATGGTGAAATCCTATCTCTACTAAAATACAAAAATTAGCTGAGCGTGGTGGTGGGCCCTGTAATCCCAGCTACTAGACAGGCTGAGGCAGGAGAATTGCTCTAACCCAGGAGGCGGAGGCTGAAGTGAGCCCAGATGGTGCCATTCCACTCCAACCTGGGTGACAGAGTGAGACTCCATCTCAAAAAAAAAAAAAAAAAAAGCTCAAAGTCCCCCAAATTTGATGAAAGGCATCAATATAAACATCCAAGAAGCTTAGAAAACTCCAAGTAAGATGAGCTCAAAGAGACTTATACTGAAACACACATTTTAATCAAACCATTAAAAGACAAAGATAAAGAGAGAACCTTGAAAGCAGTAAGAAAGAAGAGATTCATCACATTCAAGGGATCCTCAATAAGATTATCAGCTGATTTCTCATTAGAAACTTTGGGGGTTAGCAGAAGAGCTAAAAACTCTGTAGGCTGATATGTAAAACACACACAGGTAACAAAAGAAAAAATAGACAAATTAGACTACATGAAAATTTAAAAATTGGCCAGGCATGATGGCTCATGCCTATAACCCCAGCACTTCGAGAGGCCAAGGCAGGAGAACTGCTTGAGCTTAGGAGTTCAGACCAGCTTGGGCAACATAGTGAGACCTCATCTCAACTTAAGAAATAAAATTAGCTGGGTATGGGGCCATGGGACTATAGTCCCAGCTACTTAGGAGGCTAAGGTGGGAGGATTGCTTGGGCCTGGGAGATCGAGGCTGCAGTGAACTTGATCATGCCACTGCACTCCAGCCTGGGTGACAGAGCAGGACCCCATCTCAAAAAAAACTTTTTTTTTAATTAAAGATTTTTGTGCATCAAAAGATAATATCAAAAGAGTGAAAAAGCAGTCTACAGCAGGGCACAGTAGTGTACACTTGCAGTCCCAACTACTCAGGAGGCTGAGACAGGAGAATCCCTTGAGCCTAGAAATTTGAGACCAGCCTGGGCAAAAAAAGCAAGATCCCATCTCAAAACAAAAACAAAAACAAACACAAAAAACAAAAAACTAAGGTAACCTACAGAATGAGAGAAAATATTTGCAAATTACATATCTGATAAGAGATTAATATTCAGAATAAGTAGATTCTGATTCCTAAAGCTCAATAACAACAACAACAATCCAATTCAAACATGGGCAAGGGACTTGAATAGACATTTCTCCACAGAAGATGTACAAATAGCCAATATGCACATGAAAAGCTAATTATTAGGGAAATCCAAATCAAAAATATAATGAGATACCATCTCATACCCATTAAGATAGTTACTACTAATTAAAAAAAAAAAAACCCAGAAATAACAAGTGTTGCGAGGATGTGGAAAAATTAGAATCTTTGTGGACTGTTGGTGGTAATGTAAAATGGTCTAGTTGCTGTGGAAAACAATATTGTGGCTTCCTCCAAAAATTTAAAATAGAATTACTATGTGACCCAGCAATTCCACTTTTGGGTATATACTCAAAGGAAGTGAAAACACAGACTTGAAGTGATACTTCTAAACCCATGTTCATAGCAGCAATAGTCACAGTAGCTAAAACATGGAAGCAGCCCAATTGTCCATCATGGATGAATGGATAGACAAATGTGATATATCCATGCAATAGAACATTATTCAGTCTTAAAAAGAAGGGCTATTCTGACATATGCTACTACATGGATGAACCATCAGGACATCACACTAAGTGAAATAAGCCAGTCATAAAAAGACAAATACTACATGATTCCATTTATATGAGGTACTTAGAGTAGTCAAATTTATAGAGACAGAAAGTAGAATGGTGGTTGCCAAGGCATAGGGGAAGGAAAGGGTTACTAAATGGGGAGTTATTGCTTAATGGGTATAGAGATTCAGTTTTATAAGATGAAAAATTATTGGAGATGATGGTTGCATAACATTGTGAATGGTACTTAATGCCATTGAAATGTATATTTAAAAATGGTTAAGATTTTTATTCTTACATGTATTTTATTTTATATATTATGTGTATTTTACCACAATAAAAAATTGGAAAAATGTATTAAAACTAGAAAATTGATACTGGTACAATGTGTGTGTATAGACCTATACCATTTTATAATGTGTAGATTTGTGTAACCATCACTGCAATTAAGGAATTAGCCCTTCGCCTCCTGCCTCCCTCAGCTCAGATGGAGAGAGTACTTAAAAAATAATAAATAAAATAAATAAAATAAAATAAAGAACTAATTGTCACCACAAAGATCTCTTTCATTCTACCCCTTTATAGTTACTCCACCTTCCAACCCTATTATCCCTAACCCCTGGCAACCACTAATCTGTTCTCTGTATTTATAATTTTTCCATTTTTAGAATGTTATATAAATGGAATCATATATCATGTGATCTTTCAAGAAGGGATTTTCTCACTTACCATAATGCTCTTGAGTATCATCCAAGTTGTGTGCAGTTTGTTGTAGGCAGCATATAGTTGGGTCATATTTTTGCTTTTAAATTAAAAAAAAAAATCTACTCTGACAACCTCTTTAATTGGTAAATTTAGACTATTTTTATTTAATGCAATTATTGCTATGTTATCAGTTAATTATTTCATTTTATTTTTTGTTTGTTTCCTCTGTTTTTATCTTTTGCCTTCTTGTGAGTTATTAAAACACTTTTACAAATAATCCAATTTTAATTTACCTGTGGTGTTTTAATTGTATGTCTTTGTTTTCTTTTGTTATGGTTGCTCTGGGTGTTATATCACACATACACACACACACACATATATATTTTATATATATATATATTTATATATACATATATACACACACACACACACACACACACACACACCCTATTGTAGTCTACTGGTATTGACATTTAACTGTTCAAATAAAGTACACAAACCTTACTTTTTAAAGGCCCTTTTACCCCCATTTATCATGTAATAATCTTAAATATCTCCCCTACCGGTATTAAGAAACAAATCAAATGATGTTAACATTTCTTTTGCTTCAACCATCAAACACAATTTGGAAAACTCAAGAGGTAAAGGAACATCTATTGTATTTACTCCAATTTTTACTTTTTTTGTTCTTACTTTTTGATGTTCAAGATAACTCTTATCATTTCTGTTCTGTTTCAAAAACTTCTTTTAGCTATTCTTTTAGAGAAGGTTTGCAAACAATAAATTCTCTTACTTTTCTTTCATCTGAGACTACCTTGATTTGTTGTTCATTCTTGAAGGATATTTTTACTAGATAAGGGTTTTTTTCTTTCAGCATTTGACAAATATTGTGCCATTTCCTTCTGGCCTCCATGGTTTCTCATGATAAATCTGCTGTCAATGAAATTGTTTCTTCCACCACTTTCCACTCACCACCCAAAATAGGTAAGATGTTTTTCTCTTCTCATTGCTTTCAAGACTTTCTTCTTTATCTTTAGTTTTCAGTGTGACCATTCTGTGTCACGGTATAGATTTCTTTGTGTTTATTCTGTTTATAGTTTATTTATATTCTTGAATCTGTAAGTTTATGTCTTTTGCAACTGTGGGAAATTTTTAGGCATACATTTAAAAACTGCCTTTTCAGTTCTGCCCTGTTTTCCTTCTCCTCAGACCACAGTTGCATGAATGTTAGATCTTTTTGTTATAGTCCCACAAATTCTTAAATTCTCTTCATCTTTTTCTCAGTCTATTTTCTCTCTGTTGTTTGGATTGGTAAATTGGTCATTTCTATTGCTCTATCTTCAAATTCACTCATTCTTTTATCTGTCTTCTCCATTCTGCTGTTCAGTCCATCTGGTGAGTTTAAACATTTTTTCAGATCTAAAATTCCCATTTTGTTCTCCTTTATATCTTCTATTTCTTTGATGAGACTTGCTTTATTTCATTTGTATTTTTCATTTGTTTCAAGTGGGTTCTTAGCCATTTTTGTAATGGCTGTTTTAAAATTCTTGTCAGATAATTCCAACATTTGTAACATCTCAGTGTCAGTGACTATTGATTATCTTTTCCCATTCAAGTTGAGATTTTCCTGGTTCTTGGTATGATGAGTGAGTTTTCAATTATATCCAGCACATATTAGGTATTTTGTTATGAGACTACTCTGGATCCTATTTAAATCTTGTATTTTCAGTAGGCTTCCTATGAAACCACACTGGTGGGGCAAGAGTAGTGTCACCTTGTTACTGCCATATTGGAGTTGGAGTCCAGGTTCCTCATTTGGCATTTGTTGACATCCAGGATGGAGAGGCTACCTTGTTACTGTTGGATAGAGATGGAAGTTCAGTCTTCTTGCTAGACCTCTGCTGACACCACACTGGCTGGGACAGAGAAGGGCATCTTGTTACTGTTCTCCAGGTGGCCTCCACAGATGCTGTATTGTTGAGGATGTCATCAACTCTGGGTGCTGGTGAAAGTCCAGGCTTTTCATTCAACCTTCCCTGAAACTACCCACGTAGAGAGAAGAGTCCTTTGTTACTGTCAAGCGGGGTTGAAAGTCCCAGCTCCCTACTTATTCTTGTCTGACACAGGCTTGGCAGAGGGAGTGATACTTTATTACAGCTGGATGCCGATGGAAGTGTAAGCTTCCCATTTGCCCTTTGGCCTTTGCTAGTGGGGCTTGGCGGGGTTCACATTTTTTTTTTTCACGATGTTTGGTTGGAGTAGAGTAGTTATTGTCTAAAACAGTTTTCTCTTTTCTCTCCTTTCAGGCTGCTGCTTCTAGGTCTTTTGGCTAGAGAGTGCTTGCTTTTCTTGAGAGATTTTGTTTGTTTCTGGGCTGTTCAGTGTTTCTAAGCTGCTGGCTTTTCCAGCTCCAAGTCTGGAATATGTGAAGAAAAAGAAAACCCAAGAAACTTATCACTGCATCTTTCTTGAATCATGAGGTGCATAGACAGGCTGCTTTTCTTGTTCTACCTTTCAGAGTCTTTTTATGTGTATTTAATATATAATATCCAGAGATTCTAGCCGTACTTAGCAGAAGGAGTGGGGAGAAATCCGTCTTGTCCTGGACCCAGAAACTCATAGAACAGTATTCCATATTGAATATTATTTGTATTAGAATTTGGAAAACAAAGAGTTGAGGAGTTCTTTAATATATAGTTGATTTTTTTCAAGTATTCTAAAATTCTCACCAGTGGTGTTAAAATCATGTGTCCTGAAGTCACCAGAAAAATGTCAAGAACAAAGTTTAAGATATTGGATACAAAATGTAGATGCTTTTCTAGGGAATGTAAGATGATTTATTTACCAAAAGAAAAAGACAATAGAATACAAACAAAAATACCAGCTGGGTGTGCCCAGTGCTTATTGGAATGATTACTTTCTGGGAGCTGAATAAGATAGCCCTTTGTGAAAGGAAGGGGCCTTAAAATCATTTAGAACTCCTTTCCAAAATTACACGTGCAGGGTTTTAGATAGACACACACTCATTAGTGTTGATTGGAGTTATGTAACTCATATTACCCAGGGTATTCCAGCTCGCTTTGTTAGTGTCTAATCTAGTGCCAGACTCCCCAAAGGCCCCAAATCTGACAAAGACACAGTCAAATGAAATGCAATGCTGTTTCTTAAAAAAAAAAAAAAAAAATGCAGTCCAAGCTGTTCTCTGTAAGTTTTAAGCTTAGATTTAATCAAGTCCAGCCAAAATTATTCCACCCAGGAGCTATTATCACATTCCTTTTTTTGAAAGCAGCTAAAACCACGGAATTGTTGGCAGTCGTATCCAATCCTTTAGGAAAGAAATATTCTTATAGCCTCGCAATTCCTAACTCTAACTTCCTTTTCCTGTTTAACATGTTTGTGAAGTTATTTGGTAAAAAAATGTTTGAGTTTTAATTTGTAAGTCTTCAATTTAGAACTTGCTGTGAATGAAAAGGATATTGACTCTGGCAGAAATAGTTTGGAAAATTTTGGTTTTTAAGGGGAATTAATGCAGATAACCACATATATATGTATGAATAAATATATATATTATTATGTGTGTATATTATTTCATTATATTATTTCATATATATTTATATATACACTTACATATATATTATATTCTTTTCCTAGCTTTATATATGTTCCTATATAAATATGTGACACATATATGTACACATACAAAGCTAGAAAAAGAATATAACATATACTTTATTATATATTAAAATATATATTATATTCTTTACATTCCCTAGCTTTGTATATATGTAAATCTAGAAAAATAAAACAAAAACAAAAACAAAACCCAAGATACCATGACAGTAACTTCAGATTGACTTTAAAAGCCACCAGTTTTTATTTATTTAAATCCTTTTTGAGCTGCAACCCCTTGAAAAACTCATAGCTGGACTGAGCCATAATCCCTTTTCTACACATTTGTTTCTTCACCTGGTTTTTATAAATGTTTATGTGAAAGAGAAAATACTTAAAGGTGTATATATTCTGCTTCTATCTTGTCAGAAATATCTATGATTTTGTTTGGTATTTCTTTCTAATATATATGATAGCCACTTGCAATTTAATAAACAGGCACTTTTTTATTTGTATGGACAGTTCGCTCCAGGGAAGACCTTTTGGAACTGATCATAAATGGTACAGGATGTGCTCATTTTAAACAAAATTGAGAAATATGAAGACATGTTTTTGGCCCCTTCTTAAATCTGTACCTTGTTTCTCTCTCCTTTCATTCATTCATTTCTATCCTTGGGCCTTGTCCTGTGGGCTGATTCCACCTTCATATGGCTCTCAACAAAGTTTTGCTAACATTGACTTAAGGTGGGTCTTGAAATGATTTAAGTAAGATATAGTTTTGTTTAATCTTTTTTTTTTTTTTTTAAACAGGATCACTGGAAGATGAAAAAGCATTTTATTTTTCCTTCCACTCTGCTTTTTCCAGAAGCCGGAAGTAAAGAGTAAGTTAGCATGCCATTTAAAGGAGTGTGGCGCCCTGATCTGTGCTTGTTTGATATAGACATTAAGCTTTTTATGAATTGTGGAAGCCGTTTCTGGGAGGAAAAGGGCTCAAACCTGAACAAATCACTGGAGTCCAGCCATACAGGGCTCTCAAGGGAAAAGCTTAAGCTAAAGACCTTCCCTAGTTGGGCCATCAAACCAAATCAAAAAGTGTCTGCTCATTAAATTGCAAGTGGCCATCTGCCTGCTTAATCATGTGCTTCTCTTTCTGTTGGGCTGGTTATCACCGTCTGGTCTGGCCCCTTTTACTAATTAGTCTAAGTTTGATCTTTAGGTGAACCACAGTTTAATTTTATCTGGCATGGAATATGGGTTTATTTATTGTTCCATTTGGTCAAATCATTTGAGGGAAAAGAAAAAAAAAGTTACTATTCTATAGTTTACAAGGACTGGTTATTTAGAACCTGGATTAATATTTGGCATTTGCATTTGAATATTCCCCAATGAATTCTTTTATGCTATTCTTTTTCTCATTTTGGCAGTGAACATGGTAATGTTTACATTTATGGTTTTTTAAAACTATACAGTATTCTTTTTTTTTTTCTTTTTCTTTATTTTCTTCTCATTTCTTGCTTGCTTTTTTTTTTTTTTTTTTTTTTTTTTTTTTAGACAGGGTCTCTCTTTGTTGCCCAGGCTAGAGTGAACCTCCCACCTCAGCCTCCTTAGTAGCTGGGACTACAGGTGTACGCCCCCACACCCGGCTATTTTGTGTATTTTTTGTAGAGATGGGGTTTCGCTATGTTGTCCAGGCTGGTCTAGAACTCCTGAGCTCAAGCGATCTTCTGGCTTCTGCCTCCCAAAGTGCTGGGATTACAGGCGTGAGCCACTGCACCTTGCCTGTTTTCTTTCTTTATTAAGCAATATATATATAATAATGGATCCAGTTATACAGTATAAAGGCAAAGTCTAGATAACCAAAGCTAACAGTTTGCTGTATATCTTTTTGCAATGCTTGTTCAAATACAGATAAGTGGGATGCAATAAAGATATAAATGTAACAAATAAAGCTATATGAGAATATTTCTATAATGTAGTGGGCTGCAATGTAGGAGTAAGGGAGGGGAGCTTCTTAAGATGGAAAACCCAAAAGCTTAGAGTTAGACTTGAGCTACATTAAAAATTTAAAGTTTCTAAAGATGATCGCCAGTTTGGGAATTATTTATAGTATACTTATAAATGCTGCCACTGAATCAACCAATTGTTTTAGCACCATGTACTCTTAATTTTGGTTAATAAGTCTAATTCATATAGTTCTATTTTAATAGGCTGAATTTAAGTATATATGCTGAAAGAACCATAAGACTATTTTGTATTGACTGTAAAAATCCATGAAGTAGAATTTTTCAAAACATTCTCGAGTTCGACTTGTTTTTAAAATTCTTTTTCATTCTAGATTCCATAGATAGAAGCATGTGAGGAGATCTCAGTCTAGTTCTGTGTTGGGAGAACAAATGTCTGTGCCTACGATGGTCCCTTCCTGAGCACTGTCTTATTTAACTTCCCACCAGAGAAAGACAACACTGGAGGCTCCTTTTTTACTTAGAGTTATGATCTGTACCAAGCAGTAAGATTCAGAGAAAATCATGTTTCTGCTAACAATTTACAGAAATCATAATCTAAGAATTTCTCTTAATTTTTCAAGAGTAAAAAGGGATGATGTAAAGATTATGTAACATCATGTTGTTTTTTGGAGGTCACTTACAATTAGGATGGTAAATATTGATATTGTTTCATTGATTATGTTCCAAAATCTCCAAATTGGCCAATAGTTATACTATGTAGTTACCATCTATTGTTCAAGCCTTAATTGAACAGTGGCTTTAATTGTAGTCATTAGTAAAAGTCTGAATCCTGGGATGGAAATAGATATTCCTTTCCTTGGGATGAAAACCCCACCGATCAGCTTCAACTGCGATAGTAATCAGCATATTACCAGGGAAAGTCCATCAGCAGAGCATTTTTCTTATCTGGGTTTATTCTTTTGTTACTCAGGCTGTCATTGATATTCCAAGTAAAGTAGTATAGTCCATGCTTCTGAATTTGTTTGTGTTTGTTGAAAACCCAGTATTTGGATATTTAATTTAATTAGCACTAGATGTACATTACCCCCTGTTTGGCTAGGTGTAGAAAAGCTAAGTGTCAGGTTGTGAGCCTCATTTTTAATGTGAGCCTCATTGTAAGTATTTTGAGAGAGAAACCATTCATTATTTCTTTGTTCTCTTCCCCATAATGTTCTTCACTTAAGAGGAACTCAAGTTCAAATGAACTATGAAAAGCGAAGAACAAACACCCAAACATTTGTATACAAAATAGGGGATCAGTAAAAGTCTCCAGGAGCTTGAACAAAAAGTAATGCATTTTAAAATTTAAGTTTGAATTGGTTATGTAGAATCATAGAAATTAAAAATAAAAAGGGACATTGGAGTTCATCTAATAAAACCTCCAAAAAAAAAAAAAAAAAAAAAGAAACACAAACAAAATGCAGGCATGAAAAGTGATCTCTGATTCATAGAGCAAGGTGGTTGGTTTGTTTGTTTTTGAGACAGGGTCTTGCTCTGTAGCCCAGGCTGGAGTGCAGTATTGTGATCTCGGCACTGCAACCTCTGCCTCCCGGATTGAAGCCATTCTTGTGCCTCAAACTCCCTAGTAGTTGGGACAACAGGTGTGCACCACCACGCTCAGCGAAGTTTTATGTTTTTAGTAGAGATGGGGTTTCACCATGTTGTCCAGGCTGGTCTCGAACTCCTGACCTCAGGTGATCCGCCCACCTTGGCATCCCAAAGTGCTGAGATTACAGGTGTGAGCCACTCTGCCTGTCCCTATAGCAGGATTTTGATAGTACAGATCCAAAGTGAAGTCAACTGCTCCTCTTGCCACTGTCCCTTATGCAATTTCAAATCATCTCTCATGGCACAGGACTTTAAATTTGGCAAATGATAATTTTTGGCAATATATGACAGGTGTGCAAAAGAGGTAAGTTTACAAATAACTTTGGAAAATGAAGTTTTGGGTTTTGTTGTTGTTGTTGTTGTTGGTTAGTTGGTCCGTTTTACTTTTAATTCAGTGGTCTGCTTTAGAGAACTCTATTGAATCTGGGAAAAGAAGGTAAGGGTGTTACAGCAGAACCTTTCCAACATTTAGGGGGCCTGGGTAAACTAGTATAAATGGAGGTCCAGGGACTGCTCCCTGCTTCTCCTGACACTCCTGGTTTATGTCCTACTGGACATAGGCCTTGTGTTCATGCAAGTGGAGACCCAGCTGGCAGCCCTAGCTCCACATCCTCTGCTTCTCCCCAGACAGCCACCCCTGGCACACAGGGAAGAGGGATACATGGGCCTAGAAACTGGACTTGGGATCAATTTGGGAATTCCAGAGTCATGGGGACCTGGAGCATGTTCTAGAATGGGGGTGCCTCACCCATGTTCTAGAATGGGGGTTCCTCTCCCTGTGAAGAAAAATATAGTGAGAAGAGAGTGCAAGTGGGCCAAGGGTAAGACACAGGGGATATGGAGAGTCGTTGCGTTCTTTATGAGGCACATAATTAGAAACAGTTGAACTGTCTAACAATAGAGGGAAGGTTGAGTGTATCCGCTTAATAAGAAATAACAAACCATTAAAACTTTAATCTTGGAGGCTATACAACAACATGGGAAATGTTCACTGTGTGTAATATCCATTATGAGATATCCAGGATGCAAAACTGAATAGACACTGTGTGTCTATTCAGTGACTTCAATTACATAAAACTTCAAGCAAAAGATCCACTCCTAGGATTTTATCCCACCAATATCTTGCATATCTGCATAAAGATTTAGGTACTAGAATGTTTGTTGCAGTGTTATTTGTCATAGCAAAATGTACCCAATTCCTTTTATTCTGTAGGAATTGGGTAAATAAATTATGCTACATCCATACATCAAACAAATATGTAGCTGTTAGAAAGAATGAGACAGCTCTACATGCCAGTATTAAATTCTCTCTAAGAAACATTTTAGGTGAAAAAAAGCAAGGTGCATGTAATACATTCCTATTGATATAAAAAGTGGGGTTTTATATATATGAAAAAATAAGACTACATGAGAATATTACAAGTGGTAATTGCTTTAAGGTGGCAGGGATATGGGTGATGATCTTTAATTATTTCCCAGACTTTCTTTAGTGCTTCTGTGGCTTAAAAAGGAAAATTAAGGAAAAATGAAGAACTGGAAAAATGAATGCCTAAGCAACCATGAGAGGAGGTTTCCTAAGCTCTGATCACCTCTTCCTCCGCTATTGAATTCTGTTGCTACTTAAAGTTAAGAACAGTTGTCCAGGCTGCAAGTTTTCATTGCCTCTGTTATATTCAGAGACACAGTGCTATGCTTTGGTTTCTATTAATGCAGTCATTATAGCATTGAACATGTCTGTGTATTATCATAAAGTTATGAAAAATATGGTTTCTGGACTTTATTATTAGGTTGCATGACACAGCTACGCTCAAGAGAGAAGACTGAATTCTAGAGAAATATTTGGCTTTGGCTGAGATTTCCTGACTGGTTCATTTCTGTCAGTGATTGCTGGCACAGTCTCCTGAATAAAACAAAACATCTAAGTATTTTCTTGGCTTTTCCAACTGAGCCTTAACTTGCATTATTTTACCTTTAGACATTTTACCTCATTTTGTACCTACACTTCTGGCTCTTGATAACAATTTGATCCTAATGGAAAAATTAAGTCAGATAACATCAACAACAAAGGGGCCTGGTACCATTTTGAGAAGCCAGGGGTATCAAGGGGATAAAATCAATTAAATCTACAGAATTTCTTTATTCTCTGTATTCTGTGAGACTTAGCAAAACTCATAACAGATCTTTATCTTTCATTAGCCTTCTTGGCTATATGTCTATACAGGAGATACTTCAAGGGCTAAGCAGCACCTGTAGAGTGCCTGAATTATTAG